CCCATCAAAAAGTGGGCAAAGGATATGAACAGACATTTCTCAAAAGAAGACATTCATACAGCCAACAGACACATGAAAAAATGCTCATCATCACTGGCCATCAGAGAAATGCAAATCAAAACCACAATGAGATACCATCTCACACCAGTTAGAATGGCGAGCATTAAAAAGTCAGGAAACAACAGGTGCTGGAGAGGATGTGGAGAAATAGGAACGCTTTTACACTGTTGGTGGGATTGTAAACTAGTTCAACCATTATGGAAAACAGTATGGCGATTCCTCAAGGATCTAGAACTAGATGTACCATATGACCCAGCCATCCCATTACTGGGTATATACCCAAAGGATTATAAATTATGCTGCTATAAAGACACATGCACACGTATGTTTATTGCGGCACTATTCACAATAGCAAAGACTTGGAATCAACCCAAATGTCCATCAGTGACAGATTGGATTAAGAAAATGTGGCACATATACACCATGGAATACTATGCAGCCATCAAAAAGGATGAGTTTGCGTCCTTTGTAGGGACATGGATGCAGCTGGAAACCATCATTCTTAGCAAACTATCGCAAGAACAGAAAACCAAACACCGCATGTTCTCACTCATAGGTGGGAACTGAACAATGAGATCACTTGGACTCAGGAAGGGGAACATCACACACAGGGGCCTATCATGGGGAGGGGGGAGGGGGGAGGGATTGCATTGGGAGTTATACCTGATGTAAATGATGAGTTGATGGGTGCAGCACACCAACATGGCACAAGTATACATATGTAACAAACCTGCACATTATGCACATGTACACTACAACTTAAAGTATAATAATAATAAATAAATTAAAAAAAAAAAAAAGAAAAAAAAAAAGAGGACATTTATGTGGCCAACAAACATATATTAAAAAAAGGTCAATATCAGTGATCATTAGAGAAATGCAAATCAAAACCGCAATGAGATACCATCTCATGCCAGTCAGAATGACGATTATTAATAAGTCAAGAAAAAAACAATGCTGGCGAGGCTGTGAAGAAACAGGAACACTTTTACACTGTTGGTGGAAATGTAAATTAGTTCGACCATTGTGGAAGACAGTGTGGTGATTCCTCAAGGACCTAGAACCAGAAACACCATTTGATCTAGCAATCCCATTACTGGGTATACACCCAAAGTAATATAAATCATTGTATTATAAAGATACACGGACACATATGTTTGTAGCAGCACTATTCACAATAGCAAAGACATGGAACCAACCCAAATGCCCATCAATGATCAACTGAATAAAGAAAATGTGGTACATATACAACATGGAATACTATACAGTCATAAAAAGTAATGAGATCACGTCCTTTGCAGGGACATGGATGGAGCTAGAAGCCATCATCCTCAGTGAACTAATGCAGGAACTGAAAACCAAAGACCACATGTTCTCACTCACAAGTGGGAATTGAACAATGAGAACATATGGACACAGGGAGGGGAACAACACACACCGGGGCCTGTCAGGGTTCGAAAGGAGGGAGAGCATCAGGACAAATAGCTAATGCATGCTGGGCTTAATATCTAGGTGATGGGTTGATAGCTGCAGAAAACCACCATGGCACATGTTTACCTATGTAACAAACCTGCATGTTCTGCACGTGCATCCTGGGACTTACAGTAAAACAAAATTTTTAAAAAATAAAATCAATTACAACAACAACAAAAGAAAGTAAAAAACTGATCCTAATATTTACATAAAAATTGCAAAGTCCTGAGATGAGCAAAACAAGCTCAAAAAAGAAAATAAAGTTGAAGGACTTCTACATTATTTGAAGACTTTCTACAAAGCTAGCGAAATTAAGATAGTTTAAAGATAAACTTATCAATGAAGTAGAACTGAACTGAGAATCCAGAAATATATTCAAACTAATAAGGCAGATTTATATTTTTATCAAGGTTTCAAAACAGAAAATTAGACATCAGTGGAATGCGACAGAGTCCAGAACAGAATCACACATATATGATAAGATTTTTTAAAATCAAGGTGCTAAGGCATATGGAAAAGAAAAATATTTTCAAAAATGATAGTACAGCAGACTATCTATAGAAAAATAAACCTGGACCTATACTTTCTATCATGCCTACTAATTTATTTTAAATGGACTATAAGCCTAAATGCTAAAGCTAAAATTACAAATCTTTAGAAAAAAAAAATGATAGAGTATCTTTTGACCTTTGAGCAGGCAAAGATCTCTTAGGCATATCCAGAGAGCACTAGACATAAAAGAAAAATACTGATAAAGCAGATATTATTAAAATTAAAACTTTTGCTTATCAAAAGCTATTATAAAGAAAATGTATATGTAAGCTCCAGAATGAGAGAAAATACATCTCAGTACATATATCTGTCCAATAACTTGCAGTCAGAATATATAAATGACTAATAAAATGACAGGCCATTTTTTTAAATTGGGATACTTCATAAAGGAAAATATTGAACAGTTTTAAAGGATATGAAAAGATGATAAATATATGTGTTAGTCACTGGGGAAGTGCAAATGAGAACAACAATGAGATACCACTACATTCCCACTAGAACTAAACTAAAATTTAAAAAACTAATAATAACAAATATTGGCAAGAATGTGAAGGACCTGGAATTCTCAGATTGCTAATGGGAGTATAAAATGGCACAACCATTTTATGGTTTATGGAAAACAGTTTGACAATTCTACTTCTAAGTATTTACCGAAGAGAAATAAAAATATTTGTTCACCCAAAGACTTTAAAGGAGTTTTATTTATAAATGTCCCAGATTGGAAATCTAAATGTCTATCAGTAGAAAGTGGTATATCCATACAATGGATATAGTCAGCAATAAAAAGGGAAGAAATTACATATACACGTCAACACAGATAAATCTCAAAAACAGTATAATCAGTTAAAAAAAAAAGCCAGCTGCAAAAGAGTGGATGTCATTTATATAAATTTCTTGAACTGGAAAAAGTAATCTCCAATTATAGAAAGCATATCAGTGGTTGCCTCAGGCCAGGAGTGGTGGGAGACTGACTGCAAAGAGGAACAAAAAACTTTATGGGGCAATGAAAATGTTCTAAATCTTGATAGGGGTATGGATTGTATGACTATCTAGATTTTTCAAAACTCAAAACAGTTTATTTTTGACATCGCCACATTGCACTTAAATAAATCATACATCAATGAAAAAAGTCAATAGATACAGTTAATATGCACAGAATGGACACAGATGGCAAAATATTAGAAGATAAAAGTATTTTTCCTATGGTTATTTACATTTTTAAGATTTTCCTTAAAAAACAAAGCATTAGTTACATTAAAAAATAAATAAATAAATAAGGTCCTCAAAAGCAGCTTCATTGATAAGGTGACATTTGATCAAAGACCTGAAGGAGGCAAGGAAGTCAACTGTATGGATGTATGTGAGAAGAGAAGAACCTTCTAGGAAGAGGAAACCTGAACTATAAAACCCTTGAGGTTTTGACAAGAGCAGTGACAGGCTCTCAGTTACATTTTAACAGGTCCGCTGTGGCTGCAGTGTTTAGAATATACAAGGGCAGAAACAAGGAGACTAGTCAGAAGGCTACTGTAACAATCCAGGTAAGAGATGATTGAAGCACGGATCAGGGAAAGCAGTGAAGTTAGAGAAACGTCCTCAAATTCCGAATATATGTTTAAAGCAAAGCTAACATTTGCAGTTAGATTGGATGTGAGGTGTTGGAGAAAGACAGATCAAGGATGACTTCAGTGGTTTTGGCCTAAGCAACTGGAATAAAGTATTCATTTGCTGATATAGAGAAGACTATGAAATGAGGTAGGTTTTTTGTGGCAAGAGGAAAGAGCAGGTTTGTTTTGGATATACTAAGTTTGAGTAAAGCTGAAGATATAAAATTGGTATCATTGGCAAGTAGAGGTATTTATAGCCACAGAACCAGGGTGATCACCAAGAGAATGTGAACATTAAAAATAGACAGGTTCAAAGAACAGGCCCTTAAAACATTCAAAAGTATCAGGAGGTCTGCAAGTTCTTAGCATAAACTAGAAACGAAGGTCAGTAATGCCCTAAAATACACCGTAAAACTATTCTGAGAAATCTGGACTAACTTCAAAAACTAAAATCAAAAAAGCCTTTTCTATTCTTTGATTAAATGGGCAGTCTGAAGTTATCACTGATTATGTAAGTTGAAATAGACACCTAGATCAATCATGATCTTAACACCGAAACTACTGCACTATTCACCATTATTGTACATTCTATATTCCTATAATCCCATGGGTCAAGCTTCTCCATCTTTGAGACACTTAGTAATAAAAGTATAAGGACATATTCAGAATAGTTGCCCTCGAACAGCAAAGGATTATCTACTAAAGAAGAGCTATCTCTGTGTCCTCCACCGGACTCATCCGTCATCAAATGACACTCAAAGCTTGTGAGGTAATGATGTACTACATAGCTGTCCGATCTTCAGATGACACTTTGGAGGTTGATGATAAACTACAGGTCTGACAACTCACTTTCCATTTTAAGATATTTCTTGAACTTTTTCTTGTTGTGACAGGCAACCAAATTGATTAAGCCTAGTCATGGGATTTGACACTACAGCCAGTAGACTTCTATTTGTTGATTGCTATTGATTTTCTTTGATACTTCATTTAAAAATCAATAGTTGGAAAGAAAAATAGGCTTGGTTTACACATACTTAAACATACTATTGTATGCTGGAGGAGGCACAAGTTTGGCAGAGCTTTGGCATCCAATTATAAGAAGAGCTCTTAACAGGTGAAAGCAAGGGCTTTAGATCGATATGCAGTTTTCTTTCTCAATCAAGGAAAGTGGCTATAAATTAGGCTCATCAGTGTTATTTCCAAGGCTTTCATGAAGCAAACAACTTTAAACTTTTTTTGTCTTCCTTGGATTTACATTAAAAGATACATCACTAAGAATTTTTCTTTTGTTTTTAAGGGTATTTAAGGTACCTGAAGTTCATCCGGGCTTTTATCTTTTTGGCTTTTTTTTTATTTTTTTGCCGCTCTTCTCCATCTTTCAAAGTCTCTGCTGGAGCTGTACTTTCAATCACAATGTCAATAATATACTTCTTCAAGGAAAGATGCTCCTGCAAGATAAATAAGTAAAATAATAATAATGAGAATGATTTTTTAAATATAACATAGGATTGCTATAGACTACAGTGAGTATAAGACATTTGATAAAACTAAAAGTAATCTCTGTAATACACTGGTTTCTACAATTGTTTTGGAAAACGTTGAAGAAACTGTTTTAAGATTTTTACACCACTGACTTCACTTCAGTGCATATCAGTTGTGCCTAATACTAAGGATACATGGACATAATCCCTACCATGATATCACACAAGTAGAGTAGGAAAGGTAAAATACATACACAAAACTATAATGCCATCTATAATACCAAGTCAATCGGAGATTTAGAGTGCTGTAATAACTCAAAGACAGAAACAGGATCACTGTTCACTAGGGGGAAAGGGGGGGAAACTTTAGGAAGGAAGCACCATATTTGCTATCCCTTGAAGAAAGGATAAAATGTGAACATACAGATATTAGGTAAGTATGTGTTTGGGCTGGGAGTGGATAAGGTTGCAGAAAGGAAAAAGGAGGTCATCTCAGAAAACACATCCTAGAGATGAGAAAGTGGAATGTGGGTATCGACAGCATAGCTTTGGTTCAGCGAGAGCACAGAGTGTTTGGTCAAGTTCTCCTCCTTATCCATCTTAGATTTTATGGCCTATCACTATAATCATTCTGTTGCCTGAGCTCAATTCTTTTCCCCCTTTGTTCTTTCATACATGCATGGCAAAATCCCAACCCTAAATCCAACTCTCGCCCTATTCTGAGCCTGTGTCTGAAGCAGATTAATGTGGCTATAATTACAAACTTTAAATTTATGAAATTACACCTCAAGTGGCCTCTAGTATTCCCAGGAAGTCAAGCAACCTTACATTAGTTAATCTACACACTCGCCTTGCTAAAAATTATTTTAGACTCTCTCCTTAAATCTCCAATATCCCTCATCTCCTAACCCCATCTCTCAGTTCATGATCATGTTTATTTGATTAAAGAAAATAGCATTATTCAGATGAGCTTCCACACACTCCCACAGCTAAATGTGTCAAACAATCTGTATATGTGCTTGTACACTCTCTTCCCTCCTGTTGTAATATATGAACACATGTTCCTATCTAAGAGCAAGTCCTCCAATATACACTGAATCCCAATCCTTGTCTTGCATTTTTATGGTTATTTCTCCTCTTATCCGGATAATCAGTTTTCCTGTTTCTATTTAAATCATCTCAAAAGGATTCTTGTTCAGATGTCTCCATTTGGCTACTACCCTTTTGTACCAAAATTTGTTGAAACAAAGTGTATTTTGCCTCTACTTTCTTCACTCCCATTCACTCCCAAACTCATTTTAGTCCAGCTTTTGCCCTTACCACCCTTACCAATCTGCAAATTTTCCTTGTCAAAGTCAATAACGCCAGTGGCCAGTGTTCAGTTCTTATCTTTTTCTTGCAACTTTAGTCCTATAGGTCATTTCCTCCTACCCGAGACTCCTCCTTCACTTGGTTTCCTGATATCACATTGTCCTTCTAACTCATTGGCTGCTCCTTCTAAGTCTTCTTCGCTGGGTCATTTTTCTCTTCTTGACCTCTAAATGTTAAAGCATCCCAGAGCTACACTCAGAGCTTTCTTCTTCTCTATCCAAACTCATTCATTTAATGCAGTAACTTGAAATATTATTCATACACAGAAAATTCTCAAATTTTTATCTCTAGTTCTGACCTCTCTCCTGAACTCTATTCACCTGCACAAAAATGTCTCCTCGAATTGCTTGAACCTGGGAGGCTGAGGTTGTGGGGAGCCGAGATCATGCCATTGCACTCCGCCCTGGGCAACAAGAGCGAGACTCGGTCTCAAAAAAAAAAAAAAAAAGCTTCCTCGGCCAGGTACAGTGGCTCACACCTGTAATCCCAGCACTTTGGGAAGCCAAGGTGGGAGGATCACTTGAGGGCAGGAATTCGAGACCAGACTGGCCAACATGGTAGACTCCTGTCTCTACTAAAAATACAAAAATTCGCCAGGCATGGTGGTATATGCCTGTACATACCTGTAATCCCAGCTACCTGGGAGGCTGAGGCAGAAAAATCGCTTGAACCCAGGAGGCGAAGGTTGCAATGAGCCGAGATCACACCACTGCAGTCCCGCCTGGGCAACAAAGCAAGACTGTCTTAAAAAAAAAAAAAGTCTCCTCAAAATCTCCAATTAGGTGGAACATTTCCACAATCAGCATTTCAAAAATAACATGTCTACAACAAAACTCTTATGTTCCTTATATACATCAAATTGTTCTTCTGAGAGTGTTCTCTATTTCAGTAAATGGTACCATCATTTGCATAATTGCTCATATCCAATACATGCACAAATCCTATCAGTTCTCCTTTCATATATATCCCCAATTCAACCACTTCTCCCTAACACCCTCACCTGCTCTAAGTCACCATCAGCATTCATTTATATTACTGCAATAGCCTCTGGTCTCGCAGTTTCTAATTTGACCCCACAGGTCTTTTCTCTATAAAAATGGCCACTTATTTTTTTAAAACAACAGTCAAATCACATCATTCCTTTTATCAAAACTTACATTCTCATCACACTTAGAGTAAATCCAAATTGCTCACCATGACCTACAAGGCTGAGTCATTGATCTCTCTGATCTCATCTACCATTCTCTTCTTTCTTCACTAAAACTACACCCACAGTGGTCCTCTTGTTGTTCCCCACATTCATCAGAAACGTTACTGCCTCCGGGCTCTATGTGTTTTTCCTTTAGCCAAGAATATTCTCTTGGGTATTTGCATGGTCTTGACCAAAATGAATGCTCAGTCTTAACATCCTCTATTATTTGCCATCTCCTTATTCTATGTTTCTTCACAGGACTTGTTTCACATCACTGCCTAATATTACATATTCATTTTCAATTTCCATCCTCAAACATAAGTTTCCCAAGGGCAATTACTTTGTCGTTTTGTTCATTGATGTTTCTATGTTTAGAACTGTGCCTGGCACATGGCAAACACTCAGTAAGTATGTGTTAGATAAGTAAAAAGAGAGTTAATGTAATAACAACTAATAGTATTTTTCAGCCCTTATTACACAAGATACATTGAGCTAAGTACTTTATATAAAATCATTCATCTCGTCCTTACAACTATACTTAGAACATACTTAGAAGGTATATATTTTTATTATCCTCATTTTAACTATGAGAAAACTTGGACACAAAGTTAACTTTTTCAAAGTTAGAAGGCCAAAACCATGACTGAGTGACAATTGCAGCTAGTAAAGTGACAGAGCCTAAATTTAAACCCAGACAGGGTGATTAGGGAATCCACATTCTTGACTACCTTAGAGATACGGCTGGAAGTAGGTTTGAGCTATAGAATTGTGCTCACTTTCCAAATTATGAACCTACCAACAAAAAACAAGCAACAACAAAAAACAAAAACCCCACAGTCAAACGAAGAAAATGTTCTTTCACTGTAGAAGCAATTATTTTCTTTGATAAACTAGGCCTATGGTATACTATACCTTTATACGGTAGCACTAACGCAAAGCAATGATTTAAGTAGTAAGTACACACATATAAAAAACTTAAAATAACCCAGGTTTTTCTTTTCAAAGAAAGAACACAGCGAGTGGCAGGGGGAGAAAACCCTCTTCTCATTATCTCCCAAAGACACATGGAACAAAGCAAGTCATATACGAAAGCACCATCCATACTACCATTTACTGAACACTTACTATGTGATTAGCAAAGGACTGGATCAAGTACATACATTATTTCCTATCATCTTCACAATTCCATAAAGCAGGTGGTAGTATGTGTACATTTCACAGATGGTTAACAAACACAGATGTTTACAGATGCAAACCTCAAAGAAGTTTGGTATAATGCTCATGGTCACAAAGCTCAAGATCAAAACCATGACTAACTGACTTTACAAGATCAAGGTTTTTTACTACTCCATATTCCCTCCTGCCATGCTGCTCAGGCAGGCTAGTCTCCGACATGTTATTTGATCACTGCACTAAGGAAAAGAAATATTCTAAATGATATCTTCAGTTTTGTGAAAGGTCCAAATCATACTATTTTCAGTTGTATATAAATGTTATTTACATACCTAACAGAAACCACTAAGGAACTTATACACAAATGCAGTCACTATGCAAAAACTTGGACTCTATCCAGAACTATCAAGAATCATACCTTTGTTATAGACAACACCTTTACACACATATTCACATACAAAACCACATACATCAGGCATTCATATTAATGTTAACATTTTTAAAATCTCAAACCAGAGACAAATGAGCATATGTTTTTGTTTGACTTAATAGTAAACTTTTTCTTAACACAAAAATGTGTTAATTATACAAAAAATACACAAATAAAAATTAAGATTAAAATATTTCTAATAACTAGAAAAAACTAATGTTTTGAAGTATATTCTTCTAGACATCGTTCTTTGTACATATAGTTCTTTAAAAATAGGTTATCCCATTTATAAAATTTTTAAATTTGCTATATTTGATATAGATACATATTCTTTCCATTAAATAATATCCTACAACATAAGCTAATAGATGTAAGCTATTCCATTTCATGAATATACCTATTTTGCCTAATGCCTTATTGTTAGATATCTGGATAATTTTTAATTTTTCAATGTCATAAATAGTGCAACAAAATATTCCTATAACTCAAATTTAAACAAATAGTCAATTATTTCTTTATGATCAAATCACAGAAATGAAAAACCTGGGCAACAGATTACACATATTTTAAGACTTTTGATAAGTACTCTCAAACTGAATAATCAAAATGGGAATTAATTTATGTCCCCACAAGTGGTTTGCCAGTATGTGGTGTTCCTGTTTTGTTTCTAAATCTGTTGATTAGTTAACTAAAATATTGGTATTAGTATGCTTGACCACTTGTCTGCGTTTTGTTTTCTGTGACTTTGGATGTTTCTTCTGTTCCTTTCTATAAACACATTTCAAGTCTTTACATACTAAC